GTCTATTGGCAAGGAGTTTTCCCAAGATCTTAGCAACACTGTGGGAAAGACTTATTGGGCGATAATCAGCAGCGCATAGAGCATTTTCTTTCTTCGGGATTAGGACAATGAATGCAGAGTTCAACAGGTTCCAGTTTCTAGCATCAAGGGCAGAGAGCTGGTGAAGGGCATTCAGCAAATCCACCTTAACCGTGTGCCAACATCTTTTGAAGAAAATCCCAATGAAACCGTCCGGGCCCGGTGCCTTCTCTGCTGCCATTTCTTTAATAGCTTTACCCAGCTCATCCAAGTCAAAAGGGTGATCAAGGTGTGTCAGGTCTGCAGATGGCAGATTAAGATTAGACCAGTTCATTCACAGAGTGGCGCTTTCCGGTTGACCCAACAAGGAGATGAAGGATCAGTTCATTCCGCAGCTTTTCACACTGCATAAAAGGATCAGTTCAACTAGCATCCATTCACATAGATAAGGATATAGGACTGTGCTAACGTTCAGTCGTCTGGACGTTAAGCAATAGATCCGCACGATCCCTTCGATGGCTCCCGCTTCTCTCGTTCTCCTCCTGATCGAAGCAACAAGTGCCCAAACAATCACACATGCATGCGAGTTTAGTAGCTAGCTAATCCTGAGGAAATCACATGCAGCTAGCAATCATTAATAATTTTATGCATGCATGCATACTAAAAGATAAAACAGATGATGTTAGCAAAGATTCTCCATATTTTGAAACTTTAAAATGTTTTGTAGCTCAAATCATTGGTCCGGTTGAAAAACCGTTTTCACATAAAAGATTCGTCGCGACGAGACCTCCAAAACTAGATCCCATGTTGGTATGTTTCGATGACTTTTTTTCGGATGAAAAGTTATCAGACTTAGGCTAAATGAGTTATCACCTATGTGGTACGCCAGTTACCATTAGGTTTACATGAAAATTACCGGGGCATAAAAATGGCTCCTCCAACATTCTCTCCACATGCAAAAATAGTGGAGCACAGAAAACCTGATGTCATTGTAAATTCTCGCTATTTCAAAGATGTAAAATATTGTATTGCTCAAACTGTCTTTTTTATTGAAAAATCGTTTTCACATTAAAAAATCCATCACGATGAGAACTTCAAAACTAGATCTCATGTTGACATGTTTTGATCACTTTTTTGGTGAAAAGTTACTGTAAAGTTATCAGTTATGTTATATGTATATTAACATGTTATTTATACAGAAGTGGCCGGAGATGTGTTTTAAAGGACTTCTTTCCCCTGGGTCAAATTTACAGTGGTATTTATATCTAAGTTATCAGCTCCGGATGCATGCATTACCGTGCTATTTGCACATAAGTAATTGGGATATGTTCCGGTAACTTTTTATTCGGGTCTAAAGTTACCGCGTTGTTTATACCTAAGTTATCAGGTCTATGATGTGTGAGTTACCATGATATTGACAAAAAAAATTAACGGATTTATATTTCATCAACAACCCTCCCCCACTCCTCACCACTGTCGCCAAAGTAATCAGGACTGAGGCACATAAGTTACCAGCTCTACGATGTGTGAGTTATCATGTTATTCACACAAAAAGTTACCAAGGGCATATTTCATCAACCACCCTCCGCCCACCCAGTCACCAAATTTACCAAAGACTGGGGTGCATTAGTTATCAGGTCTACGAGGTGTGAGTTACCGTGCTATTGATATAATAGTTATCAGGGGTATATTTCATCATCCGCCCCTCGCGAAAAGTACTAGGACCGGGGTGCATAAATTATCGGGTCTCCAATGTGTGAGTTACCATGCTATTCACACGAATGT